CTGAGCCAAGCCTGTCATTGTCCCTGCTACAATGAATGTTATTTAAATCTGCTGCTTCAATATATGTAAAGAAACATACCCTTCACCTGATGTATGCCCTCCAAGGCAACTGACCAAATTTCAGTTCATTGGTTTAGTTCTGCCTACCAAAAATCAGTGCCTATTGTTCCCAAACATGTAATCATCTCACAGTATAGAGCAATTGCTTGGCTAAGTGGCTTAGTGTTATTGATAAGAACCCATCCTGATGAGAACAAGGAGGACTGCCAGAATATGTTATGGAAAATTTAAAAAAGCTGTTTTGCACACAATTTTCAGAAATGGTTTTCAGTACATGAGAGTAGAGGCTGGTCTGTGGATAGGCTGTCATAATCAAATGCTTAGAAAGGGATGAGAAATGAGCATATTATTCTTGATTTACTATCACTTCATTTGTGATTTCCAGTTAATACAGATTCACAAAGCCATGCCAAAGAGATACTAAAGGCCTGATTGGGCTTTCCTAATTCACGCAAAACCCATTCTCTAAGTCCTTTTGAAGCCTTTCAGGCTTCTGCCAACTCTTGCAATTTTTATTGCAAGCCTTGCAGTACTCAGTGTTTAGTTTAACATTTCAGCTTTTGGAGTTCTACAACACGAGAATCTTTATTTTCAGTTTTAAAAGATTTTTATCACCTTCATGACTGAACAGAAAAACTTGCAAATTAGACTTTTTTAAAGTGTTAAAAATAAAAGGCAAAAAGAAGGAAGAACTTAATTGCATCATTTTGCTGAATAGCTTCATAAAAAGGTGATATTCTTAGAACAAATTCATTATTTCTGAGTCCGAGTGCATACTCATGGTTCCCTAAAGATTAGCAACGCATATTTTCATGTAACACAAGTCCTGTTCTTGCAAAAATTAAGCTGGGGTTTTTCTTTCCATGCTCATAAAGGTATGCAAAATGTTGGGCCTCCTCCCATGCAGTGTGGGGGGAGCAAAGAACCTCTCCTTCTGTCCTCAGCTCCCCTGCCAATAGCTAGGGATTCCCCCAGGTGTCAATGGCAAAGTGTGAAGCAGAGAAAACATCTCACTGACCATCCAGCTGGTGCCAATTCTGCACCAGCTGCTTGACCAGGGAGCCAAGTTGCCTGATGCAGAATCTGCTGTAGCTCTGTGGTCACCCTACAGCTGTCTGAAAAGTCTGGATTTAAAAAAAAACCACAGGGCAGTAAAGCGTCTCTTGCAATGGCTGCAGATCTGCACACTTGTTAACACTGAAACAACACAATGCTTGCTTCATTTCCCTCTTCCTCCCGCCTCCTGAATTCCTCTTTTTTTCCCTCCTCCTTACCTGATACCTTTTGTTTATTCTATGAGATACTGGAGGCAGGGACTCTCACTTCCTCTGTGTTTACCCAGTGCCTTGCATGGAGGCTGACAGCTTGAATGCCATTATAATCAAAGGGGGAGTAGAAGGGAGGATGTAAGGCACTAAGAAAAATCAGGCATTCACCTACTACTGACATTCAATAAGCTTTGAGTACCTTTCTCCCCTTTGAAAAATTTACATTTCACAGTGCAATAATTAAGATGTCTGTCATCACCAAAACATTCATTGTTAAAATATTTCCAAGATGAAAAAACCTTCATTTAGAGTCTTCAGCAAAAAGCATTTCTGTCTTAGAAGCACTAAGACCTCCTTCATCTAAAATCATGCACAACAGTATTCAGCATACTCTATGGGAGTCCCATGTGGATCTTTCATCATATATTGCTTTTGTTAATATCTGTGAGGGAGCAGAGACTCCATCAATTAAACATTGTAGGTTTTTTAAAAGAATCTTTCCTATAAATAGAGATTTAAATGATCTTCTTTAAGTATTGCAATCTTTAATTGAATTCAATACCTCTGCAAATGGAGCAAACAATCTCTGACTGATTAGATCATTTGCTTCTATTCTATTTTAGCCATGCACTAGTTTGCAGTAATGTAAGGTTTTTTTCATTAGCAATTGCTGTTCAGCTGCATATTTTCCTCAGTAACCTAATTAATGCTGGAGAGGTAACTTTTCTTCTTGTGCATTACCGTATGCCAGTGTAGTTGACACCATTGCAGAGGTTATATATAAGCAAAAATCAGAAAAAAATGTAAATCAGGACAAAAATGAAAGAGAATTAAGAAATCAAAGGTGGATTTTTTTCATGCGATGGTGAATGCCTTCATCTCCAGTGACATTAACGTGGAAAGTGATTACTCAGCACCCTGCAGGACAGACCCATGGGAGTCCTATGGGTCACAAGCTCAGAAATTATTATATCCAGGGAGAATAAGACCCAGGTATGAATGAAGAGAAGAAATTATGTCCCTAAGGTGATTCAGCTGCTTCCTAGGTCTTTGTTGCTTGAGTGTATAGCATCCTGCAGACAAATTTCAGCTCTGACTTTGGGATGTTATCAATCTCCCAAAACTGATGGCAAAATGTGCTCCAGTGCAGTCCCTGACTAAATAAGTGTATGAAATGACATGGAGATTCTACCAGGCAGGACATTCAGACATAGATGAAGTCAAGAAAGGCTCATTTATACACTCAGGATGTCCCAAGTGCTGCTGTGATAGTACCATGGAATGCTTTCCTCACAAATGTTGCTTTCAGGCTCCTTAATCTGGAGTTTCCCATCAGATGCATGCATGAAGTCCTTGCTCCAGCCAGGCTAACAGGTGACAGAGGCTGATCAAAACCTTCACCCTCAGGACATGGTTTGCAGCCATGCTCTGCACCTCTGGGCAGTCCTGGAGTCTCCTTGGAAGCTCCTCAGGGTGGGGTGTCAAAGAGCTCATGGCATTTTGGCATAGCCACTTCAGCCCAAAAGGGGTGAGGAAATGGCACAACTGCCTGGAGGCCACTCAGCCCCAGTGGCAGTGAGCTTCTCTAAAAAACTGAGAAGGTGTTCTGATAGAGTCAATAAGAACCACATCTTATTTCAGGCACCACAGCCTAGAAACATAAAAGCTTTGGAAAATCATTTTGCCCTAATTGTTTTGTTTCCCCTCTTCAGAAAAATTTATACCTCATCAAAGTTGTTAGCTTAAGAAAATTTTCTTCCAAAAATATCCCACTGGAAAACCTCAAAAATAAAAGTCTTAGTGGCTAAATATGCAAATAGTGTGCAAATTATACTGGGGAATACTCCCAGAAACTGAGGCCAACTGGCAAAGCAATTATACCAGTAAATTTCTGCTGCCTACAGATCATGCAAGGTGACAACTGAGAATGGTCCCTGTGACATTTTTCCAACAAATTTGTGTCTGGGAGTAACATGAAAGAGTGGCAGAGGCCAACAGTATGCTGGGAACTGGAACAGCTTAACTTTGTTTAATTTTAATTTAGTAACATTAATTTAGCTCAAATTATTTCACACCATGAGAGTGTTCTACATTTTAGAGACATATTTTCCCTTCGGTAAATTTGGTGAAGTCTTAGATTTGGTTGCTGCAAATACTGAGGTCAGACTAGTTGGATAATAGAGTGCAAGATACTATTTAAAACAGAATTAAGAACAAAGAAAATATATTTATTAAAACTCTGTAACTCACAACAATAATTATTTAAAACCTCCTGCAACCTACAAGTCAAAATGCTTTTTTTAAGGCTCATTTTTAACTCAAATGTACTGCTTCAGGTTTGTTAAATAATTTTTAAGTATACTTTACCTTAATTTTTGATCCATAGTACAAAGTACACAAAGATACTACAGACAGAAAAGCTGAAGTGTCAGATTTGTGCCCCAATTCACTGTGTGACTTGAGGTTTTACACAGAAAACAGGCAACCTGACTTCAGCCTCTGTCTAACCTGCATGTGCTTCATTCTTGAGCAAATGAACCTTATTGAGCACACCCTTTCTCTCCCTCATGATGCTTTCTGTGTTCCTTGTCCTACTTCTGGATCTCAGCAGTGTGGCTGTCATGGCTTGGTGGCACAGTGGACACACAAGCATGTGAACCAAAAGAATATAATAAATGCGTTTTATTTCTTAATAAAATAAAGAAAGAAGAAAAGCTTTTAGCAGGGTACTTTTTTTTTTCTTGGTTTGGTTGAGGGTTTTTTTTGTGTGTTGGTTTTGTCTGGGGCTTGTTTTGGGTTGTTTTTTTTTTTTGCTTGTTTTGTTTTGGTTTGGTTTTTATAAAGAAAGGATAAATATAAAATAAGTTTTAGGTCTTTAAAGCACAATGTCTGACTTCTGTTACTCAAGGATATACACAAGATGAAGGTTAATTCACTCACATTCTTTTCTCCCTTCCTTTCCCAATAATTAAATTCCCCCACATATTATACAGAGATCCTGACAAAACCTGAAAGCTACTAAATATATTACCAAATTCATGAGATGCAAATAACCTCAACAAACAGTAAACAACAGCCCATGACTTGGAGCCTGAGTCTCCCATGGTGCAGAGTTCTCTTAATTCCCTCTGCTGCCATTGCCTCTTATGAGGAATACTGTCAGAGAAGATGATCAATCACAGGACTAGAGAAAGTGCTAATTCTCTCTTTTCCAGCCTCTTGCAACTTTTTGTCTTCACACCTCCTTCCTGTTCTCTCTTAAAACTGGGTCTCTTTTCTCTATCTCATAGATAAGTCACCACTTCATTTCATTATCTCTAATTCCAGACATCCTGCATTCCTACACTGAATGTAATCGATGTAAGCCATCAAAGGAAGAAAGGGTTCTTAAAAATATGCACCACTATGAAGATGGATGAGAGAGCAATGTAACTCAGCACCAGAACAGTCTGAACTGGTAAGTTTACCTAATTTAGAAGAAAAGCAAAGCCCTTACTTTCCCTCAAAATGCTGGTGAACATCACATCCGTGAGATGTGTACAGTATAGAAATTTCAACAGGAACTCATGCATTTCTTTAAGGGAAACAATTTCATCTGCAGAGGGAATACGACAAAGAAAGCCACGCTCAGAGGTGGGAGGATATTTGAAAAAGGCAAGGAAGCCGACTAACCTGACCAATGGGTTCTTTGGTCGGAGCCTTTCCTCTTCTGGCGGTGCTGGTGGCCAAGGTGGTGGTGGTTTCCATGACTGACGTGGACATCTCCGACTGCATCGCAGTGGCTGTGGACTCGGTTGTCATAGAGGAAGGCACTTCACCAACAAGTCTCACATTTCCTTCTATCATGATGTTGCCATCATTTTCTGCTGCCATATTCAGAACTTTCAAGCCATTGTAGTAAAGACCAGAGAGCTGGCCTTGGAAAGGGTGGCCACGTTCCTTGCCTCCAATTTTTATGGTTGCTTGGCTATTGAAGATTGTGAGCTGACGCCCTGTGAAGATAATATTATATACATGCAAAAATGTTGACTGTGAACGCTGTACTCTACACGAGTGATAACAGATTGTCATGGGGTGAAAAATGAGAGCAATAAACTATAAGAAAAGGATTTGACTCATAATTCATTGCTTTTTAATGAGGTGTCCATGAAATGCATAAATTTTGAGAGCGTTTGCATTTTTCTTAATTTACAACATTTTGAGATTTATATGTTTTTTGCTAAAAGGCCAATCAAATATATTTGGAAATGTGTTTGGCACTACAAGATATACTCCTCTCCCTTGTACCTGAAAGCACTGTTAACCTTTTGATGTGTCTCAAGAATGCCAGGTTCTCTAATTCCTTAAGATAACTTTTTCTTCAAGTCTGCCAGCATTTAAAAGTTGTTTGGTATTTTTCCACACAATGCAGCATAGAGCCTATAGCTTTATTTACAAATGAGTTTATGTATGTATAGACATATACAAATATGTATATACACACAAAGTTTATATACATGCCATCAAGTCACTAGGTCAAGTGAGTTTTAAAGAATTTATGCAGTAATTTGTTGCATATCTATGTAAGTGAATATTTACATTTTTAATTAAATATTTCCTTTTTGTAGTTAAATGTTTTATTTCCCTTCAACATACACACTGAAAAGAAACACGTGGTTCACACTAAGTCTCTCAGAGGCAGATTCAAAAATAGATGTCTGATTGGCTTTCAGCAAGGCTATCAATTAAAATAAAAGATTTTAGATGTAAAAGCGGCTTCAGAAATGATACACATACCGATGGAGAAATCATGGCACATTTCCATTAAACAGAGAAATCCTCAGCAACAGTACCACTCTTAGTAAATAGAATAGTCACTTTAGTGACTATTTGGTTTCTGCTCACAAAAAGCATGCACACAACTTTAAGTTCTGTTTTAATTAGTGTTTGTTCCAAAATCCCCTTAGAAGGTTGCAAACGTTAAAGGGACTTCATTTTGATTGGCAATTCATATTGCCCACTATTTAAGACACCTACAGTTTAAACAAATTTTTTTTCAGGACCATAATGAAGATATCATAACTACAGATATTTTTAGTTAATAATTTAGATGCTGGAACATGTAATATAATCTATGAATGATTTATAATTTTTGGTTAATGTTTGCTATGAGTACCTTCATAGATTGAGTTAGTGGATTATATTTAACAGTCCCTTTAACCTTAAGTTAACAGGGTAAGATTATTAAACAGCTGGTACTTCTAGAAATGTATAGAAATTATTATACAAGGTATGCAAATATTACTCTATATTTTACTTTTTAAAATTTGTTTTAATTTAGTTTTACTGAAATTTATTTTTTATGTTTATTAGTGTTACAATGAAGCACTACTTGGTTATGTTCAAATTATTTTTTTATTTGAAGTTTTAATCAATGTTTTTTACCTTTGTCGAGTAGCCATTCATCAACTACTCGACCAAGTCGATATGGAATTCGCTGTCTAGCAATCGCCAGGCGCTCGTTATCATTGTTTCCTTTAAAGTTTAAAGAGACATTTCATTGGTTAAAATCTGTAAGGTCAAAGGTTAAAAGTTAATACTTAAAGCTTGAGCTATACAGTTGCCACATGATTTTTTGAAATTTGGAATTTTAAAAAGTGCTACCTAGAACATTTCATGGTTCAGACTTTTCATTCATTCATTTATTTTATTTTAGCAAACAAAATTATTCCTATGTTAATTGAAAATTAGAAATCTGCATTTGAGCTAGGTTATTAAACTTATGTTATAGACAGACCCAAAAAACAAATTTAAACATCATCGAATGGCTTTACAAAAAAATGATAGTTGACCTCAGGGTTTTGTCTTTTTTGATGTTTCTTATTAACTAGTTAAACATGTTCAGGTGAAACAGGTTTAAGTTTTCAAAAGACATCCAACCTCTCACTCCAGGTTAGTCATTTAAAGAAGAAGAACACAACTCTTAATCACCATCTAAGGCACACTTACTTCTTCTGTCTAATAATAGTCCTGCTGTAACTTATTCCTAAGCAGAAAAAATACACATTTCTTTGCTTCATTTAAATAAAATTCAGAGATTCAGATACATGGTACAGAACAGACCAGGGCATTCACAGTTTGTACATTTTCTTAAGACTCCTTGACAATGTCTTGAATGAACACCAAGGCTTTGACAAAAGTGACTTGCTGAAAGGTAGCCTGGTTCTGAAACTTGCAAGTGCTTTAAAATTTAGCAAGAGGCCATCTGTGGTGGGGTTTCATAAGTTAAGAACTAACCAGAACCCAGCAATGCAAAGGACAAGCTTGTCATATTTGCCAACTGTATCTATTCTCAGTCAGTGCAGAGATCTCTGACTTCTTTAGCTAAAACAGTGAGATAAAATAAGGCTGGTACAGTCAGAAAAGTAGCAGATGAGGAATAATTAGTGAAACACTTTAAATATTTATTTGCAATTATAGTTTTTTGTGTTTGAGTGATGTAATATTGATCCCTCAGAATACCACTTAGAAAGCTACTTAGGAGAATGGCAAACCTAAATATTTCCTTCAATGTATAGGCTTTTGGTGGCAGTAGAGTTTTAGAACAACAATATCATCTTTTCCTTTCACTGTATTGGTTCATATTAATAAAGAATCTGAGAGATAAGAAGAGCAAGATGGGTGAAAAGCAGTCATTTGTAAATCATGTCCAAATACAAAGTCAATCTTACTGGCTCAAACATGGATATTTTCTTTGAGTTCAAAACCCACCAAACCAACCAAGAAATCAAGTCCTGTAGTACCTGCAGTGGAAATGTAAGCACATGCTGAAGTAAGCCCACTTAGATCAGAAACATATGTTCTTGAGCTAGAAGGACCCTACTGCTAACTGTCAAATAAAATATTATCCAAATTCAGGAGATCAGTGTTCAAGTTTGTCACAAAATTACAAGCCATAACAGTCTTGCAGGGAAGAGTCAGTACAATAGCTCACCAGAATTGCAAATAAAACCATTGTGGTTTTATGCAGATATTTATTCTACAGTGCTGAGGACTGCTATTTTCCATGTTTCATGCATCCCTCACTTGGTTTAGCATGGACATCATTCACCATGCCAGAAGGTGATCTATTTGCTTTGGAGGAGATGGCCTTTTCCTGTTCCTTCCCTTTCCAATATCTAATCAAAAAATGGTTTGGGTTGGCATCATTGCAAAGGACGTTTGAAGATCATCTCTTCCCTCCCCACTGCTAAGAGTAAAGACACCTTTTGCCAGGTCAGGTTGCTCAAAGCCCATTTGACCTGATCTTGAGACTTTCCAAGGATGGGGCATCCACAACTTTGGACAACCACAGAAGGTGGTTCCACAATTTCTCTGAATAAATATAGTATGTGAACATCTAAACGCATGTCATATTAAAATAGTACATGGAAGTATATGCATATATATAAAATATACACATTTTGTTTGTATGTACATTTCTCTCGGTTCTCAGCTTTTAGATATATTTTCCATAAAACAGGACTCAAATTGAACATCAAATGTTTTACAGAAACTTTCCCTTTTGTCCTTCTCCAAGATATTGAAAATTTAGAATGAAACACATCACAGCACAACCACTCTGATGATGTGATAATACAGAAAGTTTTAATTTTCTTTTGCCTGGTATGATCTTTAAAATTTTCATTCATCCTGCCCTCCTATTCTTGCAGCAAACTTCCTATGACTGAATGGAAATTTGAGAAATACCAGAAAAAAACCCATAAGAAATGTCATGTGACCAACACAGGGAAAAAAAAAATTAAAAAAAGCTATGTTCTTCTGTGTTCTTACATGTTTCTGTTCTGAATTTGTATCTTCAATCAAAATACGTGTGTATATATGTATCACTAAACCAGTGAGGTAACAATTTATATTTTCTGATAGTCAGTTACTTTTAACACATTTATCTTTTCAATAAGATGTTTTGACAGTTTTTATTCAGGCTTTATCACTTGAGTCACTGAATAAGTGAGAGAACATCCTATTTCTAAAAGGTTTCCTTAACTTACAGTAAATGAATCATGAGTTTTAGTTAGTGTTGTGTACCCTTTTTTTTTTTTTCTTCTTATCTATATTTAAAAAAAAAGGGGGGAGTGGGTGAAATTCTTCTGTGTCATTTATAAGAAAGGCTAAGTTGTTCAGAAGAGGTCTGTGGGCATAAGGAATGCATTAACATAATGGAAATAAGTCTCATAGATGGAGATCATCATTCACTCATCAGCTTCACGCAGGGTTACTCACTGGATGCCTTTCATGAGCAAACACTCTCTAGTTCCCAAAAGAACCAGGAAGTTATGGCTAAGTGTTCACAACTGCCTGTTTTGGGAAGGCATTAAACTGTGTTGTTTATTCACCCAGTAGGTGCAGATCAGGAACATGTGGTAAGAGAACCCCCTGCAGCCACCAGACGGGATCCTCAGTTCTATTGCAAGTCTCTGCTGTAATTCCATGAGTAACACGGGATCTATCCAAGGCAAGGTCTACTCTCACTACTCTGCAGCTGCTCCAGAATATCTCTATGGTGATCCTGGAAACTCCTCTGTGAACCAACAGCATAAATTTAATCTTGGCCAGCTTATACATTTGAATTATTTCATTAAAACATACAATACGTATGGTTTTTGAGACTATTATAATGTGATTCTGTCAATAAATTATGTTTCATACTAGCTGCAGCAGTCCAGCACCACTGGGAGCAAAATTCAAATGAAAAGCAAGAAAATAACCATTTGATTTGTAAAGGTCACACAAGAAATAATTGCTGATTACATTAGCCCATTCCTCATCAGAGAAAAAGTGCACTGTGAAGTACGTCTCAATTTGGCACTATTACGTTAGCTTAAATTCTTCTAGTATATAATACAAATGGAAAGGTTAGAGGGAAATGGTGTGGAACTTATCTGGATTTAGTTTCAAGGAGAACACATGGATTTAGTAATGATGAAGCCAGTAGACACATAATAAATAAATGAAAAAAAAAATTATACATAGAACTGAAAATAACATAAAATCCATTAAAAGCACAAAAGCCCTATTTACTATATAATGAAAAACACATATAATTTCAATACCTGCTTCTTCCCAACATCTGGTTTGGGTCACACACTCAGCTACAATGAATCTGGATAGACCCAGTAAAATTCTATGCATTTCCCTCATCTTATAACCTCATCCCCAGTAGAGAAATCATAAATACCACAGACTCTTTTCCTCAGGAGTATTCAGTTCATGTTTTTTCTACCTTCCTTTATTTATGTTTGTTTTTTCCCATATGGTGAACCACAAGGAACGTCTTCAGTAAAAACACTTCCAAGAAGGTTAATAAATTTTTTCATGCTCTAAATAAACCTGTGGCTTTGAGATTTTATTCTGTTACCCATCTGAAAGATTAAGTGCTCTGGCAGGCACCCTTTCAGTCGTAATTCATAAAAAAAAACCCTGATGTGACTAAACTTTAATTGTAGACAGCTATGTGACTATCCAGCATTACTCTTCCAGGTTATATGGCCAAGATTTCTTTGATTAAAAAAAGCTGGGTGGAAATGATTCACTCAGGATGTGCACCATGACATTGTCTAACCTGATTGAATTCTAGATGGCTTCATTCTTCTGCCAAATGCACAATATTTTGTCACAACAGAGTGTTAATTCCATACTGGCAGAAAGGCTTCAAGGGAATAACAATAATTCCAAAGAATCAAGGTAAGCAGAGAAGAGCAGCAAAGGTCAAATCTTTGAGTCAGAGTTAAATCTTGTGTCACAACTGAGAAGAAGCAGTCCAAAAAAACTTTAATCATACCTTTATATCTATAGGTCAGCTGGGACAAACCAACTATGTGAACTCCACTAATATGTATTTTATCCCTCCTGATTTATTATATTGTCAGGGCTGGAGTGTAATTCTATTTTGTGCTCTGAAATAAAGGTGTCAGTTATTGATGTGAAATAGCAGCATCCTTGAAAGGGAATAAGTAAGAAGGTTGAAAATCGTGAGTCTGTGAAGAGCAACCTAGGCTAGAGAGTATTTTCTTTGAAACAAATCCTTTAACAGAATACAAATTCACATTGTTAGTCCCAGTGATCTGTTAGGGAAATAAATAACAAAGTGATAAAACCAAGGTCTATCTCCATTTCTAAACAATCCTCTCTTCCTAGTTTTGCTCATCATGATCTTGACACGGCTCTTTCTGAATCACGTCTCCCCTGACATCTGCAAGACGAAGGCAGAGACCCACATCATTCCTCCAGATGCAGTTAGAGATGAAATCTGACTGAAATGTCAATTGCGTGGAATGAGAGGAAGTCACAGCACCTCAGGGTGGGATATGGGAGCAAACAGTCCACAAATGGTCTCACATGGCCAGGAAATGAAATCACAGTGAAATCCCAATCTCAGTAATGGCCCATAAAGTTCTTTCATACCATCTATTTCCATTATTGTGCACACATTCTTGAGACTTCATGGGGTAGAGAAGAGGTCCAAGTTCACCTCA